ATTGATCCAAACGTTACGGCTCCGCGGACGTAACGTCACTATATCCGAAATACGTCACTATACCCAAGAAGTAAACAAATGGCAAAAGAGAAATGTCCAACGAGGCGTTGTGGGGCAGCATAGACAGGTCTTCTCTGTGTTAGAGTTTTACTCGCTACAGGGTGTACTTTGAGGGTTTTGACTCTGCAGACCGTTCACATGCAGAAAAACCTTCATAACACACAAGGGGACGGGTAATAACCGGAAAAGCATGACATGGGACCTTTAAGTAAGGATATAAACAGACGTCACCAACGCTAAGCTAAAGGTGGCTAATATGTGGCGTGATGACTTCTACCAGTGTCTTTTAGTCACTTGTTAGCATCACTGTTTATAGGACACCCACTGTAGACGCTTCAGACATTCACCAGTGGGGATTCACTGACATATTTTATATCGTAGAATAAAACGAGAGACGACTCCATTCAGTACCGGAGAGACAACGAGCTATACATTTTCATTGGATGATTCTGTACTGTGAAGTTTTACTGTGAGCATTGACTGATATTGAGAAATGCAGTTTGGTGTGTCCCCTGGGTGACATAACACTTTCATTCATTATTGCGTGCTTCTTAATTCTTAATCTTTTTACTAATTAGACCGCATCTCACCCATATAAAACACTTTGATAAGATGACTACTGCTGTTTAACTTTCTGTGTCGCTGTCTGTGTCTCTCACTCGCTCAGGGCTCCCAGGGATTTGGATCTCAGGTCAACAAATGCTTAGAGAATGCAGAATATCTGTACGATCAGCTGCAGAGGAGGACTGACTTTGAACTGGTCTTCAAACACAAAGTAAGGCTGTTTTTTACGTGGGAAATAAATATATTCATAATGAGTTTTTGTACAGGAAACATTCGCAATTTCGGTTGCCAAATGTGTCAGTTTTAAAATACATCAAGACAACTGATTTCAAGCCAGGATACATTTCAATTCTAGCTTACATACACTCATTGTTTTGCATTCAGTCCACTGTATATATCGTAGACAGATACATTTTCAATTGCATTTAAATCTCCTGCACTTACCATCCAAAGAATATTGCTAGGCATTATTGTGTTTTTGGTTGGTCCTTTGAAATAAGGAGTACCTTCAGTGCTAATACTAATATTCCCAAGATGCACCACTGACAGCAAAAACAAGTTGTTGCTGCCTGTAGCCATCAAACCATTTAAAGAGGCCCTATTTTGCTTTTTGCGGTTTTCCCCTTTCCTGTAATATTCTGTAGGTTTCGGTGCATCTTGGTCTGCCAAGGCTAACAGGCAATATGAGAAGAGAGCTTTTTGAACCATAAAGCATTGAAACGTGTCACAGTAGAACAGATGAACCTGAAAATGAGCATATCATGGCCCTTTAACTCTGATTGCAGTCACAAGGATTTACTTCACCATAAGCAGCAAACCTTTTGAACTCTTCACTTCAGCTTGAATGATCTAATTATGAATACTAATTCACGGTCACCACTTTATATATTGTTACATACATGTTATATATTGTATTACAATGTGCACGTTTGAACTTTGACTTCTTATGTTTTTAAAAGTATTTGTATTTGATTTTGTATTAGACATTTCACTTCAAATTGTTATGTGATGTATTTTATTCATTTTATTTGAATTCGTACTGTACATTTCAACACAAACTTATTTTTAAGTACATATTTTTTAATGTATCTTTCATGTATTGCATCCTAACAAAACCCCAATTCCCCTGAGACATTTAAAATTTAGATTTTGAAGAAGATTGTATACTTATCCCTGTAAATCCCCTCTCAACTCTCACTGGATATCTGCTCTCCTCTCTGACAGCCGGAGCACAGTAACGTGTGTTTCTGGTACCTCCCCCCCAGCCTGAGGGGCCTGCAGCCTGGCCCTGACAGAGACATGAGACTCCATCAGGTCAGTACAGGATCCCAGCGGCCCCTCCCTCAGTAAGGACCATTCCCCACTGCTTCCTTTTATGATTTCAAAATGCTTCATACGTCTCTGCAGGTGGCTCCTCAGATCAAAGGCAGGATGATGGAGAAGGGCTCTCTTCTGATTGGCTATCAGCCGTTGGGTGACAAAGTCAACTTCTTCAGGTGTGTGTTCTCCAACCCGGCCACGCAACAGGAGGACATCGACTTCCTGCTGGAGGAGATCGCCCAGTTGGGAGAGGACTTATGACCTGTGATGTGATTATTGGATCAGCACTTCTCTCCGGTTTTCATTTTGAACGAAATGAGTGCACCATTGTTTTACTGTGCCATTCACATTGTATCCACACGTTCTATAAGCCTTTCCACTTTTGGTGTTCTTACAGCGTTAAAGTGAGGAGGTTTGAAACTGTACACTATTTATTCATGTTTCCCATGGTTCTACAGGGTTACCTGGTGTGAGGTTTTAGAGTCGTCTTAATCAAGTTAATTTAACTGAAAATACTTGGAATTGTTTGTGGTGATACCCCTTGAGATACTTCAGACCAGAGGAGAGGAGAATGACACAGACTTTGAAAAAGGTAATTCATATTAAAAAGAAACACAATCATACGATCTCACAGACGGGAAAACAAAAAGAGAGAAATTGAAACTATAGACAAGACACAAAGAGAACATTATTTTCAAAATAAAACAAAACATATTAAACACCAGGATCATGAGACCCAGGGGCGTTTCCTGGACCTGGAAACATTCAGGGCTTATAATAGCCCACAGCTCATTAAGGTACATTAAGGTACCGGGCGCTACAGTGGAAATTTCTACTGCAACACTCGCCACACGCACACACACAGTACACCTGCGACTCTTACAATGAAGGCTCCATAATCAGCTCACGGCATATAGGTGTAAGCAGGGGTAAAGTCCTATTTCTTATAAGTGGGGGGCGGACCTAACCTCCTCTAGGAGGGTCCTCACCTCCTCTAGGAGGGTCGTCACCTCCTCTAGGGGGGTCCGGGGGGGTAAACAGATTTTCTATTTCTTTATGGATATTTTACAAANGTGCACACACACACACACACACACACACACACACACACTCTCTCTCTCTCGAGAGAGAGAGAGTCTGTGTGAGAGAGAGAGAGAGAGAGTGTGCGTGTGAGAGAGAGAGAGAGTGTGTGTGTGTGTGTGTGTGTGTGTGTGTGTGTGCACCTTTGTTAATTAAGAGGACTTTTGGTATGAATACACACCGACATTAGCCAGACATTTTTTATTAACAGGACAGGGTCGGTGTCCTGCTAATAAATAAAAATTCTAAAAGCGTAGCGAGACAGCACGGAACTCAGCCTGGGCACGCACACAAACTCCCAGCCAGGCTGTGTGTGTGTGTGTGTGTGTGTGTGTGTGTGTGTGTGTGTGTGCGTGTGTGTGCGAGTGTGTGCGTGTGTGCGTGTGTGCGTGTGTGTGTGTGTGTGTGTGCGTGTGCCCAGGCTGAGTTCTGCGCTGTCTCGCAGAAGCACACTGGGCTCACAGGGAGGGGGGGGGGGCAGGAGCTCCAACAAGGCATTTAGGACAGCGAGTGAATACTCATACTACACAGAGATGCTGTATGAGAAACCAATGTGAGTTTGGAAAATTGCACAATATAAATCTATTCTAGTAGACCTCAACAATGGAACTATGATGAGTAGAAATGGCCATGACATGGAACCTTTAAATATTCCTACTTCTGTCAATTGCATTTATGCTTCAAACATCACAAAGTGGTGTTAACATGGGGCAGCAGTGGTGGGAAGAAGTACATTTACTCAAGTACTTTTTTTGTGATACTTGTACTTTACTTGTCCATTTAATGCTACTATATACTTCTACTCCCTTACATTTTGGAACATTTGTTGTACTTTTGACTCCACTGCATTTAATTACCACTTATAGTTACCAGCTACTGTTCACATATACAACACAGGACATTTGTATTGGATATAATGCAGTATGTTACTATCAATATATTAAAAATAAATCTAAAATTGTCTTAATATTAACGTACTACAACATTTAAATGTTCTTACATGTAATTGTAAGAAATCAAAATAAGAATTTTAAATTCTATAATAATATAATACTTTCCAAACAGCCACTGTGCATAATGGGTATGTAATGGAGTATTTTTAGACCAAAGGATTACTACTTCTACTTAAGTAAAGGATCTTATTCTACCACTGTGTGGAGATTATCCTGCTGAACAAAAACTAATCATCATTATTTTCTTCAACTTTCCCGTTGAAAGAATCCCATTGCTTTTTGTCGTTTGAGCCCTTGTGATGCTAACTTGTAAAGCAGCTTAGAAAAATACACTACGTCATCGCTGCTTCACTGGTGGCTCAACTAATCGTTAAAATACATTTGTGCATATTTGATCTAATAAAGATAAGGACAAAAAGAAAAGGATTCCCATCGAAAAGGAAGTCCCCAACATCAAGAGAAAATCAGATGCGGTCTTCACATGAGTCACTCTCGTATTGCACAGGAATACCTTTGCCTTCCACATGAGCCAAAGCTTGAAGACGTCCTGGTGTCGGCCACACTGGATGCTCTTATCTCCGGTGTCGTAGTTCACATCGTAGTGTTTGTCCGTCTGGAAGAGGTAAGTGGCCCCAATCTCATTACACCCCTGTAAGAGACCCTGAGGATGAACACAAAATAGTATTTAAAAAAAATCAGCCACACCAGATGTTTAGAATATATTTTTAAGACATTTTACCAAAGTTGACAAAGACGATGAATGAACCCAGTTGTTTACCCTGGACAATTTCACTTTATATAGTGGCGCCATGGTCCTTAGTATTCATTCTGAAGGCATCCTAAATATCTGTACAAATGTCCAATGCATCTAATAGTTGTGAAGAGGAGAGTTTTGGACAGATACACACACGCCAACAAGCCGTGTCAGCATGGCTACAAACATTCAGTTGATAGCCTCCAAAGATTGTGATGTTTTATGTACACTTCAATTAAAGGGTACAGCATTATGTCTTACCCTCTTCTTGATCAGTATGGCGGAGCACTGCAGAGGGACGCCCATCATCTTGTGAGGATTCCAGGTGACGGACCAGGCTCTGGAAAACAATCACTTCAAATGTAAATTGGACCAACTATCAGACTTGTTTTAGCAATCACAGCACACACAAGTTATTATGTTTATAAAAGCAATTCACTGTGTAAGGGCACCTACAATAATGCTCAGCCTAGGAGCCTCAGGGGGATAAATGTTTATAGGAGGGGCTAATGAATGTTGACCCAACAACAACAACAACATGTAGTAGTAAGCTACAGAAAAACAAGATTCAACAATGTGAGGCTAATGTGCTACAGTTACATTATCGAAATGCAGGTTGTAAAACAATGAAAACACACCAAATTATGTTCATTTTCACAAATGAAATGCATACACAAAGTTTATTACAACAAGAGGGGACAAACAACCACCTCTACAGAACGCTCACCATACAGTCTATTTGTGCAAAACCGGGGGAAAGGTTAGCATTTTACCACTACCAGTTCCAACCTCTTGAAGGCAACTTTTTTTTAAATGTGTTTTTGGTTAGAAGTTAAATCGATTTTTAAGTTTTGTTCTACGACATAAAATATGTCAGTAAATACCCCACTGCTAAAAGTACAGAGCTTATATGTGGAACAGCGGTTGCTAACATGTGTCCAGCATTAGCCACATTTAGCTTAGCAGTGGTTATGGTAATTTGCCACAGAGCTTGTTTTCTGCAATATTCTCAAATCCAATGGAAGGGAGACCTGGCCAAGCTAACTTCCTGGTTAACCCACAAAATAAATCTTCACAGCACCATTTGATGCTAACCTTAGCTATGCTTATCATGCACACACAGTATCTTATTATAAAAAGGAAATCAGGTGATGAGGCTGGGATCCACAATGAGCTACACATATTCTTTGTAGTGGTGCTACACAGAAACTCCTGGAGGAAACAAAGACATGCTGAGTGAAGTGGATAGGTTGTGTGGTTTTACCGTTCAATGCCCTGTAGTTTCATCCTGTGTCGGTCTGACATCAGCAGGCCCCCACCCCACGCCGCCTGCAAGCAAAAATCAAAGAGATTCCTCAGAAACATGATCCAACACTGCGTTCCCACCCTCCACCCAATGAGAAAGCTTTATTTATTCAAACATAAAAGCAGAGCAGCCATGACTAAACACGGGTCATTCAGTGCACTACCTTAAAGGGGACCTATTATGCAAAATGCACTTTTTTATGTATTTTATACATACATATGTGTCACTGGTGTGTACGGAGACTCACAATAATTCAGAAAATACAACCCTATCTCTACTCCCCCTTACACACATCATGAAAAAAAAAAAAAAAAAAAGGGGGGTGCAAACGAGCAGATCCAGGATTTTTGCTCGTGTGACGTCATTGGCGACATGACATGTGGCACACGTGACAAGTCCCAACCTATCGTCTCTGTCTACAGCCGCCTAGCTGAATCCCCTCCCCAGCTGTGTGTCTGTGTATTCAGCAGGATGTCTGCAGGAGGCACTTAGAGTAAAGTTGTTACATACATATCATGGCACTGTTTTACTTTCACTTAAGAAAGCACATGTCAAGCTAGGTGCTGTATCAGAAACAATGCGCGGCGTGTTTTGGGAGTAATATGGTCTGTGTTTACATTAGCAAGCATGCTAACACTTAGAGCTAACCATCGAGCTAACGCTGTAGGCAACTGGAGAGAAACATTTGAGCTCCAAACTGTTTCAGAAATAATGCTTGAAGTGGTTGGGAACATAGTATGGCATTTAATCACGGCAGCGTTTAGCTGAGCTTCTCCCGGTAGAAAACTCTCTTAGCAGGGGAAAGCTTTGTGACGCTACAAAGGGGCGTGGCTAGCAGCAGACATTCCATTTAAAGCAGAATCAGCCTGTTTGGAACAGGGCTGTAATAGAGGGGTATGAGCAGTATGAGGCATGGCTACAATGGGTGATCTGTTTGG